TACTAGTAGCAGCAGCAGCAGTAGTAGTAGTAGCAGAAGCAGCAGCAGCAGTAGCAGCTATGCTCGTTACGAGGAAGATGACAGCAACACAGCAGCAGCAACAAAATTATGATACCACAGCCCATAGCCCAATCTCTTCCCAAGCACGTATCCTGCAAAGTCTGACACCTTGACTCCGTGGCCTGAAGACTCGGAATCCCAAGGGCCAACAAAATCTGAGATCTTACAGCCTGCCCTTCCACGCCCGAAACATGCAGGATAAACCTGGGCATCAAGCTCGCCCTGGCAGAATCAGGTCTCAACACACAGTATACGGGTTGGCGTTAGCTTCTTAGCAGCACTGCCTTACGAAGATGGGTCGCCTGAAACGAATCCTTCTACCCTAAAACTCCCAAAGGGAGCCCTAATTTCAAGACTGCTGAAACCACCGTTTATGTCTCAGCTGTCCTCGCTCAGTTTCTAGCGTCACAGATGCGAATTGCGTTGCAGCGCCAACAGCAAGAATACCAAATCCATAGGACACGTCCCTCATGCAACACCTACTTCAAACAACGAAGTCTTAACTCACATAAGATAACCTAGTTTTCCATTTGAGTTTCCATTATTGGTAACTGAATGGGCCCCTACAAAACCAGACATCATGGCTTCAAGGACATGCACGACTGGGTAGGTTGCTGCGCAAGCTGAAATCTTGTAAATCTGAGGCTGCAGGCTTGTACTTTGCAAGCCATATTGTGATTGCAAGGGTGCCGTGCGGCACATGAAAGGCCCGACTCCAAAGCCAGGCTCCTTGGGACCCTCGATCTAAGGAGAACGAAGAGGACACCCTCAACAACTTGAAGGGGATGATTTCAGAAACTCGCATGTCTACTCGGTCGGACTATATCCAGCAGGCCTTGCAATCCCTGCAATCCCGGGGGGCAGTGGCGGCATTTGCTGGCTTTGCTGGCGCTGCTGATGTGCCACGCCAGGAGGACGATCAGGCGGTCGGCCCAAGCCGAAACTCATAGGCGCTGGTTCAGGGGTGGGGGGAGGCAATGTCTCAGAGTCGGAGACGTTCACGTGTCGCAAGCTCACGTGTGACTCATCCGGATTGCCAGGTTCATGCTTGCAAAAAAGAGTTCGCTCTTCATAAGTGTTGGACACGAAGCTGTGAGGGTAGCGCTTGACAAAAATGAGCCCGTAGACGATGAGAGCAAGTGAAATGAGACCTCCAAGGCTGCTGAATAATGCAAACATCTGTGGCAAGACTCCCTGCTTCAGTGTGACAGAGATCATGTCTTCCTCAATCCAAAATATGTAGACAGATCGCCTGTCAAAAATGGGTCTGGTAAAAGAGTTGAACTTCGTCTAGTGACACAACGGAGATGTGTCGTAGGACGTTGACCACGAATTCACCTTCCGCACCACTGTGCTCAGATGCAGGTTTTTTTGAATGGTGTAACCAAAGTCAATCCCGTCAACGAAAGCATTGAGTTGAAGTATATAGAAGTAGCCGTAATAAACAACTTCCACAACTTGCCATCCGCCAGGGTTTTTCACCATCAGCACCCCGCCAACAAGCTCGGTGCAGAGGGTGAATGATGCTGGTTTTCGGAAGTCAACGGACGTCATGTCTACCAGCGTGCAATTGCGGCTTGTGCCGTCAACATCGACAACACCCTGCTTTAGGCGCCATGCCTCTTGTGCTGACTTGGTGGTGTTCGGGGAAATGTGCAACGGATGAAACGTTGCCATACCGGTGAAGTTGTCAAAAAAAGCCCAATCCAGCACGGTTTAGCGCGGCTCGGTTTTGATCTGGGTTTGGGTGTAAATCACATATCGCCCACTCTCCATAATTTGACCATCTTTCCATGGAAGTTTGGACAGGTGGATTGTCAAGGGAATGAAGCATCTGGAAACAACGGTATAAGGCATAAGCGCTGATGGCCAGAAGCAGTGCCATCTGCAAAGCCAGGGCGTAATAGCGGTAATCCCTCACAACACGCCGGAAATCCATGATTCATCACAATCTGTCATCCAGCAAAACCAGAGCAGCTGCAGACGCAACAATGCTGACACTGTTGTGCATGGAGACTGCAACTGAACGCAAGCTAGGCCATGAAAAGTAGGGTTTGGGGCTGCAGGTCCCAAGAGCTCCGCCCGAGACATGGAAGTTCCCAAGATCTTAAGCAAAACAAACCTCAAATTGTCATCAGAAATGGGCAGATTCCTACCGAAAAATTCACCCCATAAGACTGGGGGAATAATAACTGTAATCATCAAAGCATAAATGACAGTAATATAGTGGGCAATGGCAGGTGGGGTAATAGTAATCCGGTGGTACAGGGGCCCCAGACGTTCTCCTGTGAACATACCTGGTTCACAGTGTAGGAATTTTGGGTTGCAGAGTTCTATTACATACTGCACTGCGGCAGGCTTTATTGACTGAAATTCTTGTGCGGCCATGCTGGAAAATCAGGGCTGCCTGCCATAGACTCTTGAAGGAAGACCAAAGGTCCCTACCCTGTGTGTATGCTACTTATTTAATTAGCACAAGTCGAAGAGTCAAAGGATTCGGGTCTCGGATTTTTGGGGGTTATGTTTAGGGTTTGAGGCTTGGGGAGATTTGAGGCATAAACCTAACTGAGCACGCTCATGGCTGCCCAAACAGCACCTGCTCTCGGGACAGACGTCGGCGCAGTCGCTCGAGCTTGTGAAGGGCCTGCACTACAGGAAAGCTACGAGACTGCAGACGCAACTTACCACAGCAATGGCACCGGGGCCGTTCCCAGCAAGCAGGAGAACTAGCAAGGCGAAAGTCACATGGAGAAACACAAGAGTAGTCAGAATAGTAGCTACATCCCACCTGCTTTTGCATCTCAGAAGGAAGTTCCCCTGCCTCCACTTTGTCTCCCTCTCGGCCTAGCGGTCGCAAATCTATTTGTGGTAGTCACGCAGACGTACTGGTTGGTGCGTTTGCACGAGCACGGGGCTTCAAGAAAGTACTGAGACAGCACCAGGCAAGCGCCCATTCTCACTGATCGCAGCTTGGAGACTCGACGGACACATGGCGCCCAGTTCCGCGACAGGGTTCAGGGTTGAAGGCATCACCTTTTTAAGAGTTAACGTCGGGCCTGGGCGTGTAACGCCAAATGCATTTCCCCAACCTCGCAAACATCCCAAATCTCTGACACACAGTAATGATAGCAATACTAGGAATATTACTAAACGTAGGATTCATAATATAATAGGCGTAATGGTCATCATAAGAATACTAATAGAAATACACCCAAGCCTCATGGCCGAAACTTTGAGGAGCCTGGTGCTAGTCCATGATCCTTGTGATCCCAAGATGAATAGTCTTGCTGTTGATCTTTGTAATCGGCACCCTGGTTCTCTTACACTCACCTCTTTCAAAAAAAGCCCTAAACCCTGAACCCCTGAACCCTAAACCACCAAACCTGAGCCCTCAACCCTAAACCCTAAGCCCTAAACCCGAAACCTGAAGCCCGATTCACATTCGGGCCCCCTGCAGCGGAGGTGGGTTTGAGCCGCTCGGCCTGGAACTTGGAGTTGGAGAGCAGCTGGGAGTTGCGTGATACGGATGTTTCTTAGATTTGAAACTTTATGCCTCGGGGAACCTTGGTTCGGATCCGGAGGGATTCTATAATTTGGGTGCTCTAAGGCCTCTGCTGCTCTCGACGTCATGATGGTAAAGGGATGGGCGCAGGAAGGACAAGTTGAAGCATGTCTTCACAAAGGTGGCTGTCAAACCTGCAATGACGTGTTCTTGGCCAGCCGAAAAGCAATTACAAGCACAGAAATATTGATATCATGAGATGTGTCAGATGATGACATTAGACCCTCAAGCCGGGGTTCACTCTAAGCTACAACGATAGCTCAAGAAGTCGTCATTATTCCTATTGATCACTGCCACTTCATGGCTGCCATGCTTTGATGGCTACCATGGGCAGCAGCTTCCACGATTGAATCGCATGGCGGATTAAGGTTCTGCATCCAATTCAATGCATCCATAATGGCTTGCTTTCTCCTGGGATTACATGAGATACAGTCCAAACTCCTAGAATCCCCCCTACTAACCCCTATAGGAGTCCCCTATAATATAATCCCCTATATGACCCCTTTAAGGAGTTTAGACTACACCTCAAATACTGCTCCCTCAAACATGAACCTACCAGGTCGTCTGGCCTAGCCGCGCAACGGCGCAGCGCCTTCCGACATGAGAGCTAACAATGGAGAATACGCTTTTGCTCAAAGGTGGTGATGACTATTCATCACTATTATTACTACTATTTTTATTACTATTATTACCGTCATTACTAGTATTATGAATATTATTATTATTACTACCATGTTTACCAATAAATGATGGCGGCCGTGATCGTTGTCGCAGTAGTAATGAGGAATTTCGATTGCCCCTCGGCAACCTTGACCTTTTGGCTAGAGGCTTTGGCTTCCGTAGCATCTCCCCCGTTCCACTACCACTCAGTCTGGAAAAGAGGGACAAGCCAAGGCATGAGACATATCCAAAGCACGATTGAGGTTCAGGATGTGGCTGAAGGAAACATTGGCCGTGAGCATTGGGCTTAGAATTCATAACACACAATCTGACAAGACCTCAGTTATGGGACTTTCTCTTTAGATGGGGGACACCTTGCCTGCATATCTCTGCAAAAGATGAATAGAATAGCTGGGAACATGACTAGGTCGCCGGTCACGGGTTCAGAAGCTGCAGCATCGCATCAAACCCTGGTGTGCAGATTGACTTGATTCACCTGAACCAAATGCATTGGCATATGGTTTTATAGAACCTATCTACATGCAATAGTATCTGTAGTCTACACTCCAATGATCCCCACAATTACCCCTATAGTAGTCCTATTATGAACCCCTATATTAACCCCCTTAAGGAATTTCACTATAGCTCATCTTATACTTCCTCCAAGAAGTGGAGTTTTCCCTCCGCATCATCCTTACAAAGACACCTGCCGAATCCAAAAACCATGCATCCCTAAACCCCAAACCCTAAACCCTAACAAAATCCGTGCTGCACGAACCTGCGGTGAAACCCCATCAAGCACCTGTAAGGGTCCTACACTTTGAACACTAGGCCCACATGCCTGAAAACCTGAACTCCCAATGAAGCCTTTGGCCCTGAAAGGATTCAACAAGCTATGACGTTTACTTTTACCATCTTATCACCATTTCTATGCCTATTCCTATTTCTGCTTTTATTACGTCTTCAGGCTGTGCCGCCTCCTCAGCCGGCTCACGGCCACAAGCTGCTCCGCGCAGCGACTCCGTAGCCGAAGGCCTTCTGCCTGCTGGAGTGAGCATGCTTCTGGGGATGAACGTTTCAGTCGGACGTAGGGTTTAGGCTGCTGAGGCCCTTGGATTTAGCTATCGCCTCTAGCTTACGATTCAGGGTCTAGGTTTTTGGGGGTTTTAACGTCTAGGGCTTCGAGCGACAGCGGCAAGGAGAAGACTCCTTGAGAGCTCTTTCAAGCACATGGCGACTTGAAGGCAGCTACTACCTCAGACACGGCAGTGAGCCATTCACTGTGCCGTACTGTCTAGGACAGCCAGGTCATCCAGACCAGCTCGTGTGGGTGTTAGGCCTACACTTTCAACAACAATCTCCAGGGCTTCAACGTCGAGATGGTTGTCTGCGTGATCGCTAAGACTTGAAATGTCTTTGGAAGGATGACAGATGGGCGGCTCAGAATTTCGGGAATCTGCGCGGATCTGTGGCAACCTAGGGGCGGTATGCAGATGTGGGGTTTGAAGTCTAAGTCTAAGATACGGGGAGTAGCAATTACTTGAAAAGGTTTTGAGTCTCAGGCTTCCAATCTAGAGCTTCTGCAAAATTGACTGCAGCAAGAGCTGCAGCAAAACGTTCCTAGCCAAAAAAGTGCATGAAGCTCCTCACTGGAATTCCTAAGCCACCTTACATGGACCGAATACAGACGTAGTCAACTGTTTCCTTAACCCTAAATGCTAAACCTTAAACCCTAAAGAGGAAACCTGGCATGGTGCGAGAACAGTTGTTATCACTGGGGAGTTCTTACAATGGGAACTAGGGTAGGTTTGGGGGCCCTCTGGCATGGCTCTGAAGACACGGCATTAGAATTCTAAGTACTGAAGATGAAAAATGTGTTGAAGGGATCCCAAATCCACCTGGAAGTCACACCTCTCGCTTTTGTTGATCGTAATCACGCCCGCCTCTTCCGTTAATTGCTGCTTTCCCCCTCTCTTCCAATATTACCATCCCTCTTTTCCGTTCTTCCCAAAAATGCTTACAAGCTTCCACAATGAGATGTTAAAGTGATCCCGGTCAAGGCCTCCTGAAACTTCCGCTGTGCCCGCAGCTCCTGACCGAATGAAGGCGCAAGGTTTAGGCTTGAGCTTTAAGGCCTCGGGTTCAGGTCTTAGCATATATTGTGCTGTTTCTTCCATCAATTGCCAACAATTATGTTCCCCAAGGTTTGTAGGTATCCGCGCTACAAGGTGGTGGGGGAGATCCCGACCTCCATTTTCTTCTCAACACTCAGGATGCCCTTAACCCATAGTGGAGACTGCCTATGAAAAATACTATAGTTGTCTCTCACAGTCTGCTTTACGTTCTTTGGTTCGTGTCCCGTCAATTCTGGAAAAAATTGCGGGAACTCTCCAAGGCCCATGACCATTCAAGAGCAATTCTGCGCGGCTTACTCTGGCTGCATCTACCACAACGGAGGTCGCGAAAGCAAGCCCACTACTAGTAATCTATAGAATATTGGGGTTAAATATGGAGTAATGAAAAGAAAATGGCCTAGGGTTTAGGGGAATCTGAAGCCCTTCCTCCCGGTCTGCCATGATCACTGATCATTCCCAGCAACACTCAGGGCATGCCCCACGTAACCCTCAGACCAACTCTGCAATGACCAGTGGAGGGAGCCCCTAGATATCCAATGCCTGGTATATGACGCATGCAACCACGGGCACGGAGCTGATGTCAGAAATCTTCAACCACTCTGACTCCCCGATTTAGGATGCTTATCGCGGGGCAGCTAAATAATAGTTTCCAATTCTATATATATATATATATATCCAATATACTATAGTAGTTTCCATTTCCTTTTCCATTATTCCAAATATAACCCCAATATATTATAGCAGTTTCCATTTTCTTTTCCATTATTCCATATATGACCCTGATATACTATAGTAGTGGGGCAGCATTGCAACATCGGGGCAGAAGTGGAGTAACCCTTCGTGCCTCTCCCTCCGATAGATCCGGATCTAAGGTTATCTAGGGACAATGGAAAAGAAAGTGTTAACTACCATTGAGGGTCTAAGGTATAACAACTTTCAGCGCATCCCTGTGGCAAATCATAGAATGCGCAACTACGCGATCACCAAATGGGCATTTCCAGATATCAGAGTCCCCCTCGAACACCAGACAATCCCTAATACCAAAAAGGAACCCCTATTTCTTGTAACCCCCCAGAAAGGGAAGCAGAACATGGCAAAACATTAGCGACTTCCGAGTGCCTCGTACTGCAACTGCCGCTTCTCTGCCTGGCAAGACTCTACTATGGTATATTATAGTATATGTTAACTATTTATAGTATACTACAGTATCTCATAGTTTATTATGGTAGATTATAGTATATTAGATTATTCTAAAATATTGTTATTTACTGTCGTCTTGGAAGGGGTTCATGAGGTGCTAAGGTCCTCAGGTGGACCATCCTACCAGGATGATGACCACTGCTAGTGACATGGCATCTATGATTGGCTGCTCCAAATATGAGCTTGATTACTGCCGGCCCGACGCCTGACGATAGGATTTAAGGTACAACTTGGGACGCAAAGTACCCTAACCCTAAACACTCAACCCAGAGGAAGCTTCTCCAATCAGGGCACGGAAATATCTCCCAACAATCGATGGGACATCCAAGCGGCGGGTAGCACTCTACCTGGGACTACCTCAGCAGGCCTTCCTCATGGTATAGTAGAATATATTCTATTAATCTAGTATACCATAACATACCACAGTACATTTTAATATCCTATAATATACCTGAATATACTATAACATATGACACAAGAAGCAGACGACCAATCCATGAAGAATGGGAAAGCGCGCCCGAAGCTCATCTGAGCTATAGTTAAACTCCTAGTATCCCCCATAATAACCCCTATAGTAGTCTCCCGCATTATCCCCTACATAACCCCCTTTAAGGAGTTTAGACCCTAAACCCTAAAGCCCATATAAAACCCCTTTAGGGAGTTTAGATTCTGGTTCATCTGGGATCCCAGATCTTTGCACTACCTGGCCTTCTCCACCAAGCGCTTGGCGAAGCCGTGCTCCAAACAAACGACTGCCTGACCACATAGTCCCCCCTGGGTAGATAGAATATGGGGTAGATGGGGTTCTTATGATGATGTACCCAAAGACATATTCTATCTACTTAAGGGGAACTATACTCCTGCTCCTCTTGGTATTGCAGCTTGTTCGCCTTATCCTTGCTCTTACTCTGACTGATACTGGTATTGGTACCGAGTGATAGTGCCTGTACCAGACGACCACCACCCCTACAACCACCACCACTACTACGACGAATACTACCACTATATTATACTAGATTCTACCAGGATATATTATATAATAATAGATTATAGTAGGTTATATTATACTACATTATAATGGATTATGATAGGTTATGATTTTTTCCTTAGTATATTGTTCTCATCCCGCTGCAGCCGCTTCTCTGGGCCATGTGCTGAAGTACATGCAACGAGATCATCATGCTTGCGGGGAAATGTACCCTACCCTGCGAAAACAAGTAGTTTCCCTACAAAAGGGGGACCCCAATATAGACCCCAAATACCATAATCCTTTTAATTGGGACCTTGGGAAAGGTACCAACTTTGGGAAACCCCCAACAATAGCAAGCCACAAACAACACCAATACCAACATGCCGTGCCTCCCTGACGGTTGACGCAGCACTTCTCTCAACCTGCGACAGATCATCGCGAAGCGACTGAACCTGCTCCAGCAGAGCGGGGAGTTTGGCAGAAGCATGTGGAGATCATGTAGCATTAACAAGGGTCCACAAACTACTGTAACGCGGGGATGTAGACAGGCCTTGGGATTGGGCAGAGTTCTTTCCACCAACAGTATGAGGGGTGATGTATTGGCGATGAATTCGAATGATGGATCCAAAGAAGTGGGAACAAGCATGGGGAACAGAAACAGTTCTGAAGACACGTTTGGAATGCAGACACGCAATGATTCTCTACCACATGAAGCCTCCCTGAAAAAGTCTAGTACATACGGTGGATTCCTTGTTCAAGAAAATGCAGGGATCATGTTGTGGGGTTGCAAGGTTGCTAGTTTCAGATTCTGGGGGTGGCCAGCTTAGCCTTGCAAGCAGGATTGGGTCCTGAGACCAGCTTCGAGGAAAACCAAAAGTACTTCTGTGGTTGTCCTTGCGGTTAATCATAGAATGGCCTCCTCGACGAGATCCTCGAGCTGCTTCTGCTGCTCTACATAGTCAAGGGCCTGCAGGACTGGAACTGTTCCTGGACCTGCCTAGTGAGGATGCATAGTATAAGAGATTATAATGGATTATAGGCTAGACTATATTAAAATGTATTATAGTATATTGTAGTATGTTATTATACACATCAATACATTCTAGTGCACTATAGTATGCTAGTCTTGGGAGGGGCTCAGGCAGAAGACCTGTGCTTTGAGGCATGCTGCCGCATGATACAATAACATACTACAGTATATTATAACATACAAAAATATGGAATATAACCTACTATAACTATAATCTATGATAATATAGGAATATCGTATAACCTACTTTAATCTATTGTAATATAGTATAACCTACTAAAATCAATTATACTCTCTTATAATACACTATAGCAAGCCATGGAGACATCTTGACCTCGACGCGCCGGCGCTCACCATCCGCTGTGATGGCTGCAACCTGCTCATATGCTTTGAGGAGCATTAACCACATAGGGATTTATCAAAATCAGGGTTTAGGGTTTAGGGTTTAGGGTTCAGGACTTAGTAGGGTAGGGCTTAGGATATGAGGGATTTATTAAAATTAGGGGTACCATTTTGGGGGTTCCTATAATAAGGAATATAGTATTTGGGGGTCGATATTGGGGTCACCCTATTTTGGGAAACTACCACATGAGCTCTAGTCTAAACTCCTTAAAGGGGGTTATCTGGGGGATTATATAGGGTTTAGAGTGTAATCTCCTTAAAGGGGGTTAAATAGGGGAGTATTCTAGGGGTTATTAAGGGAGATACTATGAGTTTAGACTACAGCTCACATAGTGGTTGAGGGCACGCTGGGAGGTGAAAAGAAACATGATTCCAGATTTGGGGTGGTTCCCAAAATTAGGGCCCTTAGGGACCGTGAAGGGGTTTAGGATTTAGGGTTTAGGTTTTGGGGTTTAGGGTTTAGGGTTTAGGGTTTAGAGTTTAGGGTACCATTTCGGCGGTCCCCATAAAAAGGACTATAGTATATTGGGGTACCCTGATTTTGGGAAACTGCCATTTGCTGCAGCTTGCCTGCCTGCTGGGACTTGAGGGCTTGTAGCTCTGACACCCGTTGCTGCCATCGCTGACGCTCCTTGCAGGCAAACATGGCTGATGGGCAGTGTCTTCTCAACATAGAATGTTGTAAGAAATGCTTTCAAGATGAAACAGAAGCTGCTGCTCTTGTGCATATCCCTCCATGAAATGACTCCTTATCCGGAGGCTGAGACTTTAATTTCCCAGCGTGCGCTCCAGATTGTATGGGGAAGCCGTCTTGAACACAACCAGAAACCTGGGATCCCCCTAACGTGATGAGTCATGAGGGAGACGAACTCCCACGAGACCCACACTAATTACTAGCCATACCACGGTAAAACACGTTAAGACCATGATTGCCAAAAACCTGAGACAATCTGAGGGACGTCAGCTGCGAGCCTCCATGGCAGCTTGCAAGGCTGCCTCGGCAGCCTGCGCCGCTTCCCTCTGGGCACCTTATCTGGGCTGCTGCTAAGGAACCTGACTACTATATTGGAGAAACCATATGAATTGCTATATTACATTGGAGAAACCATATGAGTTACTATATATACCCATTATAGTAATTTAATTCATGTTCCCTAAAAACAACCCAATGTCTTCAGACTCGGGCAGTGGAAGTGGCGGTGGCGGTAGCCGTAGTGGCGGTACTCGTTGTAATTGCAATGGCATGAACAGTAGCAATAGCAGTAGCAGCAGCAGTAGAAACAGGAGTGAAAGCCAAAAGTCCGATTCCAACATCGAGTCTCGGCGAGACTGGGAGTGAGGTGAGGAGGTGGAGGAGCATAATTTGTTGTTACACCATTTCTTTGGACTCAAAGACACATCCTTGAGGGATCCTACAAGCTCTGTTGGCTCTACACCTTGCACTTGCGGTTTGCTGTTTTGATTTGTTTTAGAATTGTCGGAAATTGTCATTAGACCCTTCCTGCGCTTGGTTAGTGCTAAGCACTGCAATCCAAAAAAAAATTGTATGCAAAACCTAGATCCTACACGACCTGAACCCTCAAACTCAAAATTGAAAACCTGGACCTAAACCCCGAACGTGAAACATGGCTGCAAAAAACGGATGCTGTCATAACGTGGATGCTCCGCTGCTCCGGCAGTGTGCGCGCTGACGCTCTAATGGCATGGACGATTCTATTTTGGCAAAGATACTAAAGGAAAGAACCATTGAAAGCGTAAAACCCAGAAAGATGGACTTGGGTGTGGCGGATGTTTCTTCATGGCATTTGTGAAAAAATTCCGTCAACGAGAGCTACTCAACCTCAAGAACACCCCATCCACATTCAAGAAAATTGGTACCAAACCATAAGATGGGGACATTGCGCGCCTGATTACCCAAAAACAGCCAGCAACCGCCTGTTTTGCACGTTCTTAAACAACAAGATCTGAGGCCGTTTGCTGTATGCCTCTTCCATGCGATCGCGCTCGGCCTGGACTTACTTCAACAAGGAGTATGGAGAATGGTTCCAGATGAAGATTTGTTCCTGCATCAAAACGTCCACTTGGAGATGCGCATTTTTTTTTACTAAGTATGTCGTTGTATCTCGAAATGTTTACAGATTGCTTCCTGGGTCAACTTGAGGCTGGCAGCATGAATGGCCCCCCCAAAACTTTACATGTGTCGATTTCAAAAACCCACACTCGCAAACCTGAAATGCCGGCTTGGACCCTCTCCCAAAAGCATGTAGCTTTCAATGCAGCGAGCATGAAACCAAGTAGAAAAGGTTCATGCATTGCAGGGAGGTTCAGGCCATGAACAGAAGCAACTGCTCCATCCTCCACATCAACAAATTTACGTTCAACGCCCTAAACTTGAAGGCTTGAGCCCTGACTTTTGAAGATCGAAACAGTTCAGCCCTGGACGCCTGAAACCGGAAATTTCAACAATACGAACAGCTCTCGGAAAATGCCTTCAGCATGGTGAGGTCTTGAGTTCTGCCCTCCCCAGCCATATCCTTCGGAACCAGAAGGTGTGGGCTGTAGTGGCTGGAAGGAAGATCACGTGGGCTGAGGCGAAGCATTCGCAACAGTCTTTTTGCAGTCATGGCATTGGTAACGACCAAATCAATAACAAAACCAATGAATCAATACGATTTGTAGCCGTACGCGGTTAGTATGAAACATTGACAATGGAACCTGCAAAATGCAGGAAAACCAAAGACTGATCCATTTGGCCCTTACAGATGTGTGTTGAAATATAATCTAGCAGGTCGCGTGTCACAAACATGTGTAAGCAATGCACATGGCACAGCAGAGTGGCTCACAACCCTAACCGACCCCCAAATGCAGATGCGCGGGGGAGTGGCGAATACTCAGAAGCTGGTCAGGACATCTCCATGAAAGGCAACCTCTGACAGCATACCATCTGGAACACCACAACACTGGGTAAGTCCTGCATTACCATGAACAACCTAAATCTCCCCACAGCAAAGACATCGACAAAAGTCCTGACATGGTTTGTTTTGCCTGGGTGTGTTTATTCATTTGATATCGTAAGTCAAGCAATGGCCAAAGTCCTGGCAGGGAGCTTTTGCCGCGGGCTCCATGAGCGGCACAACTGGGAAATATGGGGTTTGCAAAGCTCAACCGGTGGACATTTTTCATGCTTCCGGGCTTACATCAGAATTTGATACCAAATCACATGTTTTGCTGCAACAACAGCTGAATTCTGCGAGAAGCACTGAGCCAATTTGTCAATTGCACTGGTTTTCGAACCTGCATGCCAAACAAAATCACAACATCCTGCACCACTGCTACCATAAGTGACTGCTGATTACTGATTCTGCTCCTCCTCTTCCTCGTGTTGCGGCGGTTGCTGATACCTTCACCTACGTTGTAAACTTGCAACTGCAGGGTGAATAAACAGATCTGTTAACAGCAATGAACTACGTCGTTTGCACTCCGCGGTCTCAAAGCCCTTCTGCGGATCTATAGCGATCCATGCCGTGGCGGAAAATTCAAGTGTGTTTTGCCAACGGCTGGTCAAAGCTACAAAAGCACACAAGCGCAGACACTATTCTTTTGTCACGAGGTGCTTTGACTGGAATGTTTGCTTCCTCTTGGCAGAAAGTGCAACAAGATCTGAGTCATTGGTGTCACTCGAGCGAAGCATGATGCAGATCCTTTCGTGGATACCTTTGCAAGCTTGTGTTGGTTAGATCTAAGGGACTAGCCTCATGCCTTGAAGATAGGATAGTTGCCATTTCTTGAATGTATCTGAAAAACATAAATTGCTTGAGTGGCTGGAAGCAGACTTCGTGTGTTCCCACACTTGTGCAGCCAGATTTGTGACTCGCATTGCTTAGGACGCCTTGCGACGACCAATTCTTTAAGCCGTAAGAGTTTTGGAATAAACATCAGCTGAGGGCTGAATGTCACGCCATGTGTGTGTGTGTTGTGACTTCCAGTCCAACCATATTTTGCAAGGCGCGCAGGTCAGAGATTAGGAACGTTTTCTTGCACAGTCATCTGGAATACCGGTTTGACCATTCGCCCAGGACTGTGGTGCGCCCACGCTCGGCAAACCAGACGAGAGACTTCTCGCGCACGCTTGCTGGTGATGGATTTGTTGGTTGTTTGGCATGCTGGGGCTTGTGGTCTCACTTTGTAAAGCGAAGGCATCGTAAAAGCCTGGAAACATCCCGGTTTGCCATTCTTTGGCGAGGCGACGATGATTTCGGTTCCTTGAAGGGACCACGTTGGGTTACAATCTTGAAGATGTTTTCCATGTCAGCTTCATGCGGGGCAGTTTGTAGATGCCCTAGTCATGTCAATGCAGTCATGTCCAGTACACGTGTGCATGAGGTGTGTTGCTCGAAGCAAAGAGCTTTCACTTCCGTAGCTTGGCCCACAGCTCGCATGCTTTTGAAAGACCCACCCTCCTCTCCCTTGATGGTAAATGCATAGCACAGCTTGCACAGCTCGCACCTATTGCACGCATTGCTCAGCATAGCTCGCAAACCTACAGCCTACAACACTAGACCTTCACTTTCTCACCGAGCTTCACGCTTTTCACCTGAGGGGTACGTTAGTGCGTGATCCCTTCAGTCAACTTAAACTCATGCAACAACTTTGCTTTTGTCTAGTATTGGGCTCTTTATGTCTGTCCGTCAGGCTCTGGCTCACCGAGAATCAAATTTTCAAACCTGATCATGTGAAAATTCACGACTCTTCGCGTATGCCTCATCATTGCCTCACAGTGCCAGCATATGGTGAACCTTCCAGGGAATCTTGCGCGCATGTTCTCAATAATGATTTGCTGCACGTAATTTGCTTGTCAAAGTCCATCGCAGTCACGGGCAATGTGAAATCTTCGACCAGCAACAGGTGCAACACACACAAACCCCTGTTCCGGGCCTGCAAGCGCTGGTGCAGCAGACGCAAGTCCAGGAAGTGGAGGTCCGACATGGCGTAGAGGAACCGTTCTACCAACATTGCGGAGGTCGCTATTTCTCACGCGCGGTACTGCTTGACCGTCGCTTACAACATGATAATCAGGCTCTCCATCAGGCTGTGCAAATTGTTCCGACGGTTCACTGCTCGCCGACAACGGAGGAGGGTTCCAAGGATCTCTGCCACGCTTCGTGAGCTGTGATCCCTCAATGGATCTTCCGAAGACGCATCATGCTCCCCAGATGCTACATCATGAGCGATATTTTCATCTGCACCTTCATCAAAATCTTCTAAATCTGTGAAAAACTCAGCACTACTTTTGGAACTCACGTGAGAGGCGCTGCAAGGGTAACATGTTCACATGCAAACAACATGAAACCCTGTTTTATAGGTTTCCATGAAATTCTGGATTCTGGGGTTGCACATGCTAGAACTAGAACATCTTTACACCCCGCCTTGATGTTTCGCGCTGCTAGCACTACATCACCTATACAACGGGCTTCTTTCTCACAACTATACAAAGCTTAGTGAAACTTGCTTTCCTCTGACTAAGGGCTCTGACTGTACACTTCCCTTCGCGTACTTGTCCCTCGCACTGTACGGAAAGCGTGTTGTGGTAGGAGTTCAACCTGTACGGAAAACTCACTTCTTTACCACTTC